TTAGAAAGAGGCAAACATGAATTAAACTAAGGTCAAAGTTAAGCGACGTTTGGTGAAACCAGGCCTTGAAGGTCTGGACGTTGAGCAAGAGACGAGGCCATCCACGCGTACTGTGCCCCACTGTCGATAATTACCTGATTGTTAACCGGATTGATAATGGCAGCGAGTTGAGTGCTGGGTGAAACGAGGGTCTGATTCACGCTCGACGACTGGCCGGAACGTACTTTATTCTGCTGGATGTACAAGAGTGGCATTACGGGCGTGGACGCGTCGTCCGCCTGTTGCGTATCCACAGTGCTATTCTCATCTATATCGTCTACTACTATTTCGTCGTCCATTCTGTAAACAGATAGCAATAGGGTCAGATCGTTATCCTGCGTGTCCAAATAAGAAGGATACCCTCCCATCCCTCCCGACGAGAAAAGAAAAGGGGGCAAACCACTTGCGCGCGAGTTGTCGCAACTCTACGATCGAACTGTCGTCCCCGTGCGTGACAAAAGGTGAAAAGAGGCTCGAATGGTGCACTCGACGGTGCGCGCGTTATCTCCTTGCATAATCAAACAATTACCGCGACAGGCCGCCTCGTCCGATCAATTCGAACGCAGCCTCGCGAAATCGCGGGGCAAACCGCGACGTGACGCCCCACCGTCATTCGATCTCGCTGAACGGTCTCGGCAGAACCGGACCGACCTCTCCCTGAAGACCCAGTGGAACTTTACGAACCTAGCGGACGCAGCTTTTATCATCGGCATATCGGCGTCGCGCTGCCAGTTACATAATTCCGAGAATCGAGATTCCTGCGAGTCGTCCGCGGGGAAGCGTCGGGCGCTCGGCGAGACGCGCGCTTACCGCGCGAGTTCGCCCCCTCGGAGAGGAGGCCGCGCGGACGGCCCGTTCGCCGAGAAGGATTTTAAATGGCGCGCCGAACCGCCGTGCCCGTGGCAGTCATGTTCCAACGTCGCTCACGGACGCTTTGAAAATTCACCGTGGACGCCGACGACGGAGGCGTCCCGGGCGTTGACGCGCGTGCCGCGCCCGGCGGACGGGCGGGCTCTCCTATTTTCAAACGCGACGAGCAACAACTACGTGCGTCGCGGCGGACGCGGCCCCCGCTCGCTCGACGATGCGGGCACGACGCGCGTTACGGCACGGCACTTTTCGGATGTAACGGACGCGCGGCTCGGCGCCGCGGCGGGATTCGTCGGGCGCGCGCGCGCGGTCACCCGCTCCGCGGTCAGAGCTTTTGCAAAAGCACACGTGCACGAAGCCGCGGGCGACCACGGCACGTCGCCCCGCGCACTTTTAACGACGTCCACTCAGCACACCTTTTGAGCGTTCGAGCCACCTTAAGTCTCCCGTACGGCCGCGGCTACGTCCCCATAGGCCGGACGCGCAGTGGCGACGGCGCGGCGACGCGCCTCCCATTGGCCGCGCGGCCAACGGGCGCAGTCGCGCCGGCCAATCGCGCGCCGCGTCAGCGCCGCCAACCTTCCCACACCGACGTCGCGGCGGGGCGCTCTTTCCCCGACCATTTTTTTTGCTCTTTCGAATTGAGCGACCTGCGCCCGCTCCCTCCGCCCGCGCCGTCCGTCCCGCGCGGATCGTTTCGCGATCGCCAGTCGTACGGATCGATGGTCGCGCGCTTTGGATCTCTCTTTTTATTTCCCTCTTTCTGTCTTCCTCTCGCCAGAGAGGAAGGACGAAGGTCCTTGCAACTGCCCAGTTTTCATCAGTGTCGTTTAACTTTGATCTCGGCTTAATTTCTCCTCTCTTTTTACGGGCACAGTTAATTGAATTAAACTAAGATCAAAGTGAAACGACGTTGGTGAAACCAGGGTAAAGCTAATATCACATTAGTTGTACGATTATTACATTGGCACGACATTTTTCGAGCGTGTTGACTGGCTGCAGAATAGAACTCGTTTTTAGAGACTTGAGAACTTTTCTATTCTGCAACCAACACGCTTAAGGCCAATGTCCACGATGCTAGAACTTGGTCCAAGTTCTAGCTTCGAGAAACGTGTAGCCAATCG